AGAGCCCGACAAATTTGTGAGTGGGATTGTAGGATGGAATTGCCTGTGCTGGGAAGGGGCAGGGCTCAGTAGCCCTGCGGGTCTCTTACGGTTCATGTCTTATGTTCCTAAAATCTCAGGCTTCTGGGTTTCAGCTGTCCATGTGCATGGGTCAGAAAGGGATCCTCCCCTCCCCACACCCAGTGTATCTGTTTTGTTTTTTAAATCTCCTTCCTCTGAAGCATCCGAGATGGCCACAGCTGGCACTGGGACAGTGCTGCGAGGTCAGTGCTTAATTTGTAATGAGAGAGAGAGAGAGAGAGAGAGAGAGAGAGGGGTGCCTGGGCTCAAGCAATTTTTTTTTTTTTTTTTTTACACTTTCATAACAGACGTGGCAAGCCCAGAGGTGCCGGGGCTATGAACTGTCAAGCCTAGAGACACTGGGGCTCAGCTGTGGCAAGCCCTCGCACCAATTAAGCGCTATGTGAGGTGGTGCAGAGAATTCTCTCTCTCAGGTTCTGGATTGGATGGTTCTTCCTCAACCTGTTCAGCGTCTAATTGATCATCATATTCGGCGTTGGGGAGGAATTTCCCCCCTAGTCAGATTGGCAGTGACCTTGCATTTTTTCCCCCCATCCTCTGCAATGTGGGGCCTGGATCATCTGGGAATCTCTCACTTAATCAATTCCCTGACATTGCAGGGGCCTCTGGCACTGGTGCACCTCAGAGCCTTCTATTCCCTGCCAGTGGCACACAATAATTTAGTCTCCTGAGGGTTGTAATAAATTGGATTAATTTCCATTGTTGGGTTAAGTGTGCAGGTGCTCATCTCATTGCCTGTAATTGTTCATTAGTACTTTCTGCTCTAGCTAATAAATCTGACAGGGTAGTTCTTCCTATAAATATTAGGTTTTTTCCCCTGCACTTGTCCATGACCCAATATGCCTCCCTCTTGAGGGCAGCCTGCGTTTTTCTAATTCCCCTTGACACTTGCACCTGGCATTGGGAGTGTGCGGTGGAAAAGATAGAGTTTTGATTGAGAAATATTAAAGAATTTCTCCCTCTCCCCCATTTCTAAAAATCAAACCTTTCCCACCCTTTTTGAAATGCTGCGTTAACATTTATTTAGGGTGTTTTCTTTACACATGCTGCCAGACAATGGCCAGGACTAGAGGAAGAAGCATTAAAAGATGGCTGGAAAGGGCCTTTTTTGTGATGTTTCCTGCCTGACCCAAAGCAGACCGTGCCAGAAATCCTACAAGAAACATGGTCTCCTGAGGTTTCTAAGCTAAACGGTGCACATCTGTAGAAGGTATCGAGAGTTTAAAATCAGCACCTAAACTTTTGGGTGCATATAATAAACCTGGACATCAACTCTCCATTGCCCTGCACTTTGTGCAGTCGTTCACAGGGCAAAGCTAGTACTAAGTGCTACCAAAACAAGAAAGGTAGCATTTTACACTCTTTGCCATGGTATAAATATTTGCAGTGGAGAATCCAGCTCAACACCTTTTGAGGAGATGGCTGAATCTGGCATATTTTAGAAGACAAGAGATCAAGAATTTTCCTACTAGCTTAGTGTAGAAGAGATCAATAAGCCAACTCACATGGAGGAGCTGGAATGGAGAAATTGTCCCCACATCTGTTCTTAGCTAAGTTCCTAATTCTAAAGCTTTTCTCACATATTTTAGCATTACCAGGTAGCAAACTCAGTAACACTCCACAATTATTCAGTCTCAGCAGCTGTACCAGTTGGATTCCAGATGTGTGTGTGATGCAGTTGTAATCACAGATTTACTAATGGGTGGGATAATTTGAATCATTAGGCCAACCACAAGTAGGGTATTTTTTTAAAATCATGCTTTATCAAGTACAGTATATGCACAAAAGGTTGTTTCATTATGTATATCCCATCCATGGTTAAACTTATCAGCATTGTTAGTAACTTCATATACAGCCACAAAAAGATACAGATAAGACTGGTTTCCTGGGGAAAACCACAAGAAATACTTGATCTTTCATCCTATCCTACTGTAATAACACAACCCTTCCTTCCTCCTTCTCTCCCTCCTCTGATTTGCACTGTGTTCCCCCAGTTTTGCAGAGTCCAGAGATAAAACATCAAACAGTTTTAATCAATGCCCTCACAGAAAATAATCTAGACATAAAAATGACAAGTGAAGACAGTTAAAGGAGGAGGGAGGGGGAAGGAGTTCCATTTCAATAAATGACCATTTTACTGGGACTGGTGACCTCTGAGTTTGAGCCTCATGGAAGTAACAACTTTGAAATCAATACAACTACTCACCTGAGTAAGTAAGGGTTTGCAAGAATGGTTCCTTAGGTGCCTGCTTTAGCTATTTTGGCTGGAATTTTCAAAGGACCATAAGAGTTAGCCAACTCCCATTGGACTTCAATAGGATTTGGGTGCCTACCTAATTCCCTTAGGCTCTTTTAAAAATCTCAGCCTTAGTGCTCTAATATTCATCTTTTTACTGCTACTTAAGCCACTTCTAGTCAGTAAAGCAAGTGTGATTTCTCAGCAGGAAGTGTCAAATAGTCTATGAGTTGGCTAACTAGTTTAAATTATCTGGCAAAATATCCAAAGCTGTATCTGTTAAAACATTAGAACATTGATGATAATTAGACTTTTGCTCTGCCAAATGGATGTTCCACAAAAATCCTTACAGCATGAGGATTTTTTTTTTGCCATATTGTTAAATGGACACTTGAGTAGTTTAGTCCTGTTTAGTTTATGTTTAGTTAAAAAAAGAAGAGAAAAATGAAACAACCCCAACAAACCAAACTGGTTAAAGAGGACAAAACCTATTATCAGTAAAACTATTTTTATAATCGTTTGTTATTTCCAATGGGCAGATTTTTGGAGCTCTCAACTTGATTGTATACAGGACACTCCCTTGACCTACTTGTCTTCTTGTGAGGATGGAGGAGATTTCAATCTTTCACATTATTCCCTTCAACTAGACTGAACTATGTCAGTCATGCAGGATTCTTCCATTTTATTTTTAGTGTGTGGGATTTTGCTACAAGAAAGTTGGATGCAGTTATTATTGGGTCAAATTGTGCCCTGACTTATATAACCAGTGAAATCCCATTGACGTCAATGGAGTTGCAGGGATGTAAGGGGGTGGGGGGGGGGCGGACTTTGGCCCCAGTGTGTGTCATCTGTGGTAATAAAAAGGGATGTCCAAATTCTCCTAACAACTAATTGGAAACATAGAGCACAAATACTTTAAGTATTTCCACTTAGATCTCTACTTGAAATCACATGGCTTCTTTTTTTCCTGTCTGTTCACTTTCCTAATATTAACTCAATGGAAATTGTTGTAGAAGATGAATCTAAATTATAAAAATTTTAGAGATCCAGGAAGATACAAGGAGAGTCTTAGAAATGTAGTAATCTATGGTCTTCATTTTTATTGACTATTTTCCAAGATTGTTCTCACAATGTACATTTGTACCATTGATGCAGTTTTTCCAATAGCTCAAGTGTTTCACGAGAATAATATTCGGTTGGTAGCTGTGTTCTCTGGGAGAGTGCTTGTCATCTTAAGTCATAAGACTATGATGAATTCAAAGTCACAATAATATTTTTTTTGGCTTAACCAGTATCCCTCTTTTTCCCCGGTTGAACAATGAATGACTAGAGTCCTTCCAAAAAACCAGTGCAGGAGGAAACACTTGTATCCTTCAGAAAGGGCTGCATCAAAGATAATGGTGCATGAAGTAGTTAATGTTGCAGAGCTAAGCAACTGTCTGGTGCACTGATTGTTCTAAGTTGGAATATGTTTTCTCAAAATGAAGTTACATTAAGTGTATGTTAAAAATCTCTCCTCAGATTAATCTGACTCACCATTCTTATCTCTTATTTAAACGCTGGCAGTTCATTGGCAATGTAACATGTCTGAATTACCACCATAAGCAATCAGCTACGGTGCATATTTTATATGAATTTTTGTTGTTGTAAAGGACAGTACTGGAAAGTCCTCCACCTACTGACAGAATGGGTAGCTAATGCACTATTTCTCCATTCTGCCCATCAACGTACCAAAACCAAGTTCTGGAAGGAAAAAAGGAGGACCTCACAGACCCAGGGGAAGATTTAAAAGCCATTTGTGGTTTTGGAAAATCTCTCCCTGACATCTTTGCCTCTCTACTGAAATGGACAATAAAGGGGTTGCTTTGTGGTGGCTGTATTTTTTTAAACTGGATTTAGAACAAAGACCATTGAAGAACAATTAGACAGCAATGATTTTTCACCGCCAGCAGCCTGTTCTAGGTTTGAGCTAGTCCTCCTGAAGAGAGAAAAAACCAACAAAACTTTGTATCTTCCCATTTCCTCTGTCTCAGATCAATTCACTCAGCATTCTACAGCAACTCTGGTTTACTCAAGCATTGTGGTTTGAGATTCTATGGCTGGTCATGTGACTGTAGGGATCTATAGTTAACACATCTCCACTGTGGCATGTGCTCTATATATAGATACTAAAAACAGATGGTTTTAACAGAGTACTATTTTATAAATGTGATGCTGTGTTTCTGCCTAAATATATCTGCATGGCATAAATAACCAGCTCTACAATAATACAGAACCCTAAAAATTCTCTCATGACCTGCTCCTCTTCTCCTTTTGATAAGAAAGGACTTCATCCTATGCTTTTCAGAAGGTGATCCTCTTGTAGAGAATGTGCATCCCTCAAATCCTACAAACTCAGGCCTGCCCTGCAAAGTGCTTGGGAGATAAGCTCAAGAGCAGGATGCTAGGGAAGAAAGATGGAAAATCCACAGATAAACCAGAAGGCACTATCATCACTTACAGATGTCAGGTGATTTTCAGATAGCAAAAGGTACAGATTTCACAATAGCATCAACAAACTGAAGGCCAAATTCAGCTCTCATTCACATCTCTGCAACACCTTTGATTTAAATGGAGCTGCTTGGGTATGAAGGAGAGAAGAATGTGCCCATAGTAACATGTGAATGACAAGATAAATCCTCACCTGATACTTTGACCTCATTAGGCCCACAGGCTCTGCATGGCAAGACTTGGAATTCTTCCACCTGGTACATAGAATAATCCGTACTGGCAACAACAAGTCTATCTCCAGCCTTCCATGATCGTGCATCATCTGCCAGCTTCAAGATTGTGCTGTTCACATTGGTATCAATGGTTACAGTAAGCTTTGGTCTCACTAGGAAGCAAAAAAGGGGATGGCAGAGAATTCAGCTCACTGAACCTTAAATTGTCCGCTAACTTTTCTGGGCATTTTTGTTACCAACAAAATTTAGCAGTTTACTGATCCAACACATATGATACAGCTATCCCAAGTATGGTCTTGGTTGGGTTTGATTCGTGAAATCAAAACAAACAAAAAAGGCCTATTCATTAGTTATTGGCAAGTGTATTTTCACTAGCCATTTAACTAAATTTAAATGTAGCCCTTAGTGGCTCAAACTTACCACTCACTTAGCTCCAGGAGTTAGTGTTGCTCTGCACTGTTATTTACAGTAGCAATAAACCTCCCAAAAGTGGTCTTTAACATAATGACTGTTTTTCCCCCAACGAAGATAACTGCATTCCATCTTTATCTCCCTACTAAATGATTGTTAAAGAATCACATGTAATGACCAGTATGAGGGCAGGTTGCTAAATGAATAATTGTAAAAGAAAAAATTACTTTGAAAAACACGTTGCTTCCCAACAGCATTAGCAGGAAACAGTCTCCTCGCTTGCTGAAGGAATAATCCTGCCCCATCTTGAAATGCTTTAGAAAGCATGGAGATTGTTACAGGTCTTGCCAAGTATCTGTACAGTATTACTGGGTTTTGGCGACACCATCACATCATTCCACTTAGTGCTCAAGAATCTCTCTTGAGATACTCTACTGAAGACTTGTCTGGGCTCACCCCAATATCCCAGCCAAACCTCAGCTTGAGGAACTACACTGGACCAAATTCAGTTCGACAGTAAGTAGAGGTTACTCCCATTGACATCAGTAGGAGGTGCTCCACCAGGTCTGGTTTGGCCCATCCTGTCTACCTGTGGCTAAGTGCTCAGAGAGGGAAACTCAGGGGACCTGGACATCAGAAGAAAGCAAAGAATGCAACACAGAAATCAAAGGGTTTCCCAAGTGAATTATTGTGTTTGGTAACAGATTTCTGCTTCCTATAAAATAGCCAGCTCAGGAGGAGGAAAATTCAAAATGGGATTTCTGCTCTGAATGTAAAAAGTGAGTCACATACCAGGTTTGCCACACAGGAACCGCACTCGGTAATTTTGGCAGCCTTCATCTGTCTGATCCTTACCATGGCACATAAACCTATAATCGTGTCCGCTTTTGTAGAAAACCTCAGTTGTTAAATTGGCTCCAGAAAGTGTAGCTGCCTAGGATGAGAATAGAAATGCACATGGGGTGGGCATTAAAACATGAATGGCGTTCACACCCTCTTACTCTCTCTGTGCATGGAATGAGGGTGATCACTTAGCATTAAGATGATGCACAATGATCATGTAATAAAACAGGATGAATGATCATGGGTAGAATCCATTTATACATTCTAGTTGGTTCATGCACAATAGCTTTTTATATGCAGACCACATGGATTTATCACTAAGTGAATCGTGTCACTCCCACATCTATATTAGGACTCAGAGTTGTTGTTTTTTTGGAAACAGTACTCTGAGCTTTGCTAACCCCGCCTTGTTTCCCTTGATTTTAGATCTCACTAGTTTGAGGTCAGATTCAAACTCTGAATGCAGATGGATGGGCCCAAACAAACTCATGGCTTTCAAGCATCTTAACTTTGCTCATTTCATTACCTGGGGCCTGATTGTGTCTGTTCCTTGCAGGAGAAAGTGGTGGGAGTCTTCTCTCTCTCCCTTGCAAGGGCCCGGGATAGTTGCTATCTCTATACTCAGGGATCATGAGGAATCCACCCCCATTCACTCTGAGGTCACAAATTGCCCCAAGGGGGCAAGAGGAGGTGGGCCTCTGCTCTCCCACATGCAAACCAGCCTGTGGAGCTGGCTGGGTATGCTGGAAGGGGATCAAGTTACACCACCCCAAGGGTGGATTCAACATGTCCAGCATGCGTTCCTCCTGGGGCAGTGCAGTCCATCCCATCCCCCTCGCAAGACTGGGATTCAATACCACAGTCTAGACCTCAGGTTTGCAACCCTTCTTGCCACTGCATAAAAATGCTGTGCATTGCATAGGACCAGCCAAATAACCTTCATTTTAAAAAGGCACTAGGCTCTTAAAGGAGTCACCATCTAAATTAGGGGTCTGATCCTGCAACTCCTACTCACTCATAGGCACGCTCACTGCAATCAATGGGAAATGTGCCCCGGCTACAAAATTTCTTGTTCTATTTTGATTCTTCTTGTGCTTAGCATCGTTGGGGCAGGGTAGTTTGATTCTTCGATATCCTCAGTTGGCGTGAACTGATGAAGTCAATGGGCTACATGGATTTACATCAGCCGAGGATTTAGAAGCTCATGATTTATAACTTTTCAGTAACAGAAAAATATTGCGTTTCTTGTTTCACTTTTAATACATATGAACATGAACAAAAGCAACTATTAGTTAAATTAGTATCTGGTCTAGTGGCTCTTGTGTTCTGAACTGAAATCCCTCTTCCAACGCATCAACAAAAGCTGAAACGCATGTGGAGTCAGTTTTACCATTGACCTGGCAAGTAATTGTGGAACAGTTTTTCCCCCCCTCATTGTTCACTATGAGATTAAATTGAAGACTCAGTCCTGGAAGCCCTTGTTCATACAGGCAATCCTCATTGCATGAGCAGTTCAATTAAATTTAATGCAACTATTCTTGTGAGCAAGGGCTACCCAGGTGAGTAAGAGTTTGCTGGATCCATTCCTAGATGCCTTAATGCTCAAGTCAACCCTGTAAAAACCCTACAGTACCAATCATTTTATGGTCTTCTGTTAAGCAGCACTTGAGCTGCAGAATTTTATCCACTGGACATTTAAGTATGCAGCAGGAATTTGCCAATAAAAGCAATTTTTCCTTCACACATTAAGTAGCTTTTGCAGTCATAACAAGGTGTATGTTTTCCCCTCAACATGTGCATTCGAGGATTTGATTACATGTTTCACACTGAATGGAATTCAGACTTCTTTCTACAAAAGAAAAAACAATGGACTTGAAAAAAATGACTGCAAGCCCAAAGACATTTTCCCCCATAACCTAATGCAACCTGTGGTTTTAATGTTATGGTCACATTTTGTGCTTAATTTTTCAGACAGCTTCCATTCTAAGGCCCTTTTAGACCCTTAGAAAATTTACATCCCTCTCTTTCCCCCCAACCCCCTCTTAATCTTCCTATAGGAAACTACATATTTTGTGGACAGCATAAATGGCCCAATTCTACAAGCCTTCCTCACACCAGTAGTCCTATTGACTGACCTGGGACTGGTTGTGTGAATAAGGATTGCAAGATCAGACTCAGAATGAGGAATATAGTTTCTCGGTCTTATAAGCTTCCGATTAGTGTTAAACATTTGCCAGCATTGTGGCCAGTCTATATGCAAGAGCATGAAGAGACGTCTAGAAACTAAATGCATTCACAGCTCACAACACTGTCACCAAGAAGGCCTAAGGTCTACTAGAACCTTCTTGACTTTGATGCTGCAGTTGGTTGCTTACTATACTGCTATTGCACATCAGGCAAGCTAATCTATAGGGAAAATGGGGAGTTTGTCCTACCTGGATAGCAAGGGGATGACTACAGATTTTGCCTGGGTTTGCTGCTCTGAGGTCAGAAAGTTTCTCCGTGTCTTTGGATCTTGCCTTTTTGGGCTTCTCAAACCACTCTGTCCATTCTATATCTGGAGACAAACAGGAAAGGCCATTTTATAGAAAGCCATGCTTAATGCAGCAAAAATGCACCTACCAGAATTTAGTCTCAAATACCATTAACAAATTTCTTCAATAACTGCCTAGTTCCTCGTTCTCCTTGCCAGTCTGGCAGCTGCTTTACTGATGCTATGAAGTGTAGCAAGGCAAGGGAGCATGGAGTTATTTAAAAACTACATGGTTTGAGTATGTAGCATGAGCATTTCTAACAGCTATGGAACTTGAATTGTGCCCTTCTCCCTCAAGCCCTCTGTATGTATTCAAGTCAGCTTGCAATCAGCTGCTGTTTGTTACAATGAATGAAACACCATTCTGACAAGCGGTGACCACATAATCAAAAGAAAAGGAGGACGCATGTTGGTTTGATCTTAACACGTGGACGGTCACATTCAATGCAAAAAAGAAAGGATTCAAATTAGAGAGAGTCTTGTAGGGCTTGGAAATAGAGAGGCTGCTTATGTTCTTGTTTGGATTAAAAGGCAACCTTAACAGATATCAGACCGTCTTTTTCTAAACAAAGGAATGGTGATTGGTGTGACAAAAAGGAATATTTCAAAAAGCGATTAGCACGGTTTAAGCTCCGTCACTCTGCTAGCACACAAACAGAGGTCTCACCTTGAACCCACTCACTGGTTGAAGACACATTAAAATGCTCTCCATTCTCAGCCTGGAATAGTTTGAATACTTTGGCCACAGCTGATCCTTTGTGTCCTGTAAAACAATTCATAACAATTTCATGGCTCGCAAGTGATAGAAGCTAAGACTTCATAGGCAATGGAGCAAGCCTGTGGTTGTGTCTCTTGGGAGACCAGAGCAGATTCAGTAATTGCCTGCAAAATTTCTAGCAGAATTGTTCTGCCTGCTCTTGGAATGATTTTTCCGACTCTTTCCTTCTGCTCAGACTTTGCCTTTGTCGAGGAGGAATTCTCAAAAAAAAGTGAATTAAGGGAAATCATGGTTTTTGTTTTATTTTGCATTTTTTGTTTGCTAGTTTACATTGTGACAAACCAGGTCATTATCTTTATTTAGACAATATTGTACTATGGTATTCCACAGCAAATAGCCTCAAAAACTAGTATAGGTTGAAAGGTTTTGACTATCATGGTACAATATCATGTCTTAGATTTTCATCTCATGTTAACTGAGATAAATCAGGTTTCAGAGTAGCAGCCGTGTTAGTCTGTATCTGCAAAAAGAACAGGAGGACTTGTGGCACCTTAGAGACTAACCAATTTATTTGAGCATAAGCTTTCGTGAGCTACAGCTCACTTCATCGGATGCATTCAGCGGAATACACAGAGAACATGAAACAATGGGTGTTACCATACACACTGTAAGGAGAGTGATCAGGTAAGGTGAGCTATTACCAGCAGGAGAGCGGGGGCTGGGGGGGGGGAACCTTTTGTAGTGATTTAGATGGAGATAAATCAGTGGAACTATGTCAAAAAGGTGGATACATAATTTGGCTTCAATGGAGCTATACTGGTATATACTAGCTGAGAATCTGGTCCTGTATGTCTGTGTACGAGTGGCCTGTGTCAGATCCCATCCAGCTGCATCACAGCATGGGGATAATGTAAGGGGGCAAGACTCCTGTTCACAGCTTCAATGTAGTGTAGTGTCAGACAGTACAAACGTCAAGGAACAAGTTTATCCCTTATGTAATTACACAGACTTCCATGGAATTATACCAGGGAGGAACTTGCCCAGGCAATTCCAAGCAAGTATTTGTTTCATTTAGGGGACTGGACTAGATGACCTCCTGAGGTCTCTTCCAACCCTGATAGTCTAGGATTCTGCATTACCTAGATATTCCATGTGGTCTTCAACAGAAGAGGAAGGGTTTCCTTTTACTGTAATAAAGCTCCAAGGATGCCTGAGAAATCAAAATGAGAAATGATCATATTATTTCATCTGGCACTTGTATGCATCATTTGTTTTCTCCTCCCTGGTGCACCATCTTCAAAACAGACAGATTTATGTGACACTGCAGTTTGTTTTACACTGACAATATCTTAACACTTTCTATTTCTTTGCTAAATATGCAACAAGAGAAATGAGGTTCAAAAGACAAATATCTCATTGAAATAATTAATCATAGCGTTGTATAAATGTCACCAGTGGACTTCACTTTTTATGGACTATCTAAAGAGGCTTTTGTGTGGTAGCAACATGGGACACTGGCAATGTCTCTGGGTGGCTGCAAAGGCTCCCCACCCCCCCCCCCAAAGAACTTTAAAACAGCCAAATTTGGTTAAGCAAATTGAATGTGTGCTGAAATGTTGTAGGTCAGGTTTCAGCCTGTAGTGAGCTGTGGGGATTTATAAAGGACTCTGTTTTATTGATTTTCTGGCAAAAACTGCTATCAAAGGTGCATAGATATGCTACGAGAATATATTTTCTTCACTTCAAACTGATCAGGAATGGGGGTTTATGAGCCACGATCACTGGTTCAGCTCCAGCCCCAGGTCAGCAATAAGTAGAGTTTGTTACTATCTGATGGTCACAGGTGGAATCCGTCCGTATCTACTAGAGAGTTATCAGCAAGGCTAGAAACACTAGCATGTGAACTGAACTGGTCTGGGGAATAGAGAGTAAATTGCCCTCTCACCTTTGGAGATGGACCCTCTAGAGAAGGGCACTAATGGGTCAGAGCAGGGAGTTTTGTCCTACTGCTGCCTGTGATTTAGTGTTATGTGACTAAATAGACATCAGCCATGAATGTTATTAATCACATGCATCACAACAGAACAACAGGGCATTGTGGGACTCTCTCTATAGTTGAGAGGCCCCAACATTTAGCAAATAAAAACCCGGTTAGAGAAATCCTCTGTCTCTTGGCAAAACTTCCACTGATTTCAGTAAAGTCAGGACTTTATGCTAGGAGTCCAAGCCAGTACCTCACACATTGCATTTGATGGTAACTGGAATGTAGGTGTCTTTAAAACCAGCCCTCAGGCTTCTATGGAAAATATATATGGACGCTAAGAGCCAATTATCAAAAACACACTAGGTATTACCAGCCATCTCACCTTTATTAGGGCTCAATCCTGTTCCCATTGAAGTCACTGACTAAATTCCCCTGAACTTCAGCAGGAGCAGACTCTTAGTAGGCATAGTCCCATGGTGAGAATAGGGGTGACATATACACCCCGTTAATCTAAAGAAAATGGCTTCTCACAAATCAAGGCAGCTCCAGCTGCTCATCAGTGGCCTGACCACAGGACAGACCCTGGGGAAGCTGCAAAGCTGCCAGCACAACTGCCTGAGGCATCTGCCAGGGAGCCAGATGCTCCTGCTGGAAACTTTCCTGTACACAGAGTGCCAAAGGCATTGGAGTGCTGTGATCTCCATCCAAAAGAGAAAGAGGGATGGGATGGTGGAAGAAATGACACTTGATCACTCAGCAGGCAGGACGGACTCCCCTCCCCACTTCCTTTTTTTTTTTTTTTTGGTTAAAAATAAAAACAAATGACAAAAATATGATTAAAAAAATAAACAAGGCCAAGAGCATTCAAAAATATATTTCAGAACAGTTCAGTTTGTTCTTAAACTAATATTTGCACCCGTTTCATTCTTTCCAGTATTTGGTTCCCCCCGTTCGTTTATGGTTAACAGCATGGTTAAGCCAGTTCATCCTAATGCACGTGGCCACACGTAACATGTCCTCATGGTGTGAAATGTGAGGACTGAATTTCACTCTTTTACACCTGTATGAGCCCAGAGTAGCACCTCCGATGCCAGTGTGAGGTTCTGATCAGAACAACTGTCAGCAGCTAGTGCTGAAAGACTGTCTTGATTGATTGATATTTTGTTTTTTTAAAAAGCTCAGTATTTAAAGGGCACATTCATTTCTCATTGAGACAAGGAAGGGGAAGCTCTTCTATTCATTCTGACTTTTCTGGATTCAGCAAATGGGCAACGGGAACAGACATTGTGAGCCAGATGCTCAGCTGGTGTAAGTCATCATTCCTTTGACTTTAATGGAGCAATGCTGATTTATGGCAGCTCAGGACCTGGTTTAGCGTGACAGAAGTGGGAGACAGATGGTTTCTTGCTATCTATCAATATCCCTGTGTAGCCCGCAGTACAAGAAAATTACCCAGGCAGTGACGGAGTAACCTGACTCATTTGGCACTTTCAAAAATGTGAAACAAATATATCTGACCCAAAAATTACTAGCTGGGGTTGCACCAGTTATTGTCTCAGCAACAGTCGCAAGCTGTCATCAGCAATGGACATGGTGCTGTGCAGATCTGGCACACAGGTGTTTGATTTAGTATTGTCAGCCCGTCATCAAGCCAACAGATGTTTTAGGGTGATCAGGAAGAGAGAGCAAATCAATCCATTGCCCATTGTCTGACTCCTCTTCTGCAGTGTAGTTTAGAGGGTGGATATATAATCTAGCAAATTGCCCAGAGTAATTTTTACAAAGCTACAGTTCTTTATAATGTCCAGAACGAGCAGGGACTTTTTAACCTTTGACAGGCCCTTACTTTAGCAGTACTAAAAATGTGCTTAAGTGTACAGTGCACTGAAAATCACTAACTCTACTACAGAGTAAAAACCCAACACAAGGCAGCGTGGCATTCAGACTTCCTTGATGATTATGTAGCTGTTGATATGCAGTATCCAGGCAGAGGTTCAAAAAGGACAACAAAAACAACATCCAGTCCCTTTCCCTCACTATCGACTGCACTGCAGAGGAGAAAGGGGTCAGATAGGATGATCTTGGTTATTATTGGATTCTGGTACAAATATATATTTGCAGTTGAGTTTCTGCTCAGAGTAGAGATGGGTCCAAGTTGTAGAATTCAGAACCAAATGAGGGTGTTCCAGTTCAGGCTGGTGTAGAGAAAAGAGCCAGTCACGCAGATTGGGATCTGGTTCTGAATAAAGCGTCAAGTTAACTCATTCCCTTCCTCCCCCTTTGGCCTCTTTGGCCTGCAAAAAAAACCTTGCACTCCCCACTCACACCTTTAACCCTTCCCACAATCCACTCCACTACATATACTAACTGCTTACGCAGGTGTTTTCCGGGGGTGGGGGTGGGGTGGGGAGGCCATTATATTGTAACAAAGGCATCCCCAGGCTTCAGGGTGTTTGTGGGTAATTTGTTATTTGTGGACCAAACCTTGCAATCCTTAACTCAGACAAAAAACTCAGAACAGTGGCCTCAGTAAATAATGACTTCAATTGGAATTTTGCCTGAGTAAGGATTTCAGGCTTTGCTAGTTTATAATTTGGAACAGAGAATCTTTGCTAGTTTGTTATCCTGATCTATTTTTAAAATAACATTTTCAAAAAAGTGCCTAAGTTAGGTGTTTAACTCCCATTGAAAAAGTGTGAGGTTTTTAAAGATGTAGACAGGTGCCTAGTGGGTTTTGTCTACCTCTTTAGACACCTAATACTTTTATAAATCTGACCCCAAGTGACACAGGAGACCAAAAAAAGTCATTGGGGACTTCAGAGGTGATGTTTTCAAAAGTGGCGGACGCACCTAAGTAGTACACAGGGATGCGAGTATTTTTACAAACCTGTATGTTACACAGTGGTGGTCACTGTGTAACGTACATAAAAGGGCCAACATTTGCCAAAAATTACTACATCATAATACCCAAGATGTCACCTTAATTTCCGGTCAAGAAGAAGAGGTGCATTCTCCCCACACACTCTCCAGATTTTTGCACTTGCTCAAAATTACATATGTAAATGGAACTGGGGGGGGACTGTGGCCAGACAACTTTTAGTGGTTCTATACTAAATCAGTAAGGCTGCTGCCTGAGTGGTCCGGAGCAGCACTCTGGCTGTGTGGTCACACCACCACTGAAATTTGACCTGGCTGCTCCTCTATACAGACAGAACTGTGGCCAGGCCAAATTTCAGTGAGTGGCATTGCAGGCGGGTGCACAGGGTCACAACGCCACTCAAATTTGGCTTGGCCACCCCCTTATCCCGATGGAAGGGCATCCATGCCAACTGATGTTGCAATGTGGTGCACGGGGAGTCTGTTCCTGTGGGGTGGAGTGCAGGGGAGCCTGCTGAGAACTTGACTCCTGGCAGCACTGACTCATGCAATGTGTGGGTAAGAGGGGGAGACTCCCCAGCCAAGGGAAATCCAGGGTCCCTGTGCGGGGGACAAGTGGGCACTGGAATGAGTTCCAGCCAGTGGGGCGGGGGGCTGGAGTGGGGAAAGGAGAAGGTGCCCTCTTACCCAAGAAATATCTGGGTTGGCACCACTGTTTCCTCTTCTAAAATATAGAAGAATGCTGCAGTAGCTCAAGTAGCAGCATGGCAAGTGTTAACTTTTTGATGGCAACTGCTAGTTCATGGCAGAGCTGAGTCATAACACGATGAATCAGATTCTCTAGGCATTCCCATTGTAAGTCCCTATTGTAAAGGAGCTGGAAACGAACATTAAAATGCCAGTGTTGGATAAAAATACTAGAAGCAGTTTCACAAAAGTATGAAAAAAAAAATCTTTTCTCCCTGTTGCAAGACTGGAAAAAAGATGTAGGATTTTCAAAGTCTCTTTCTGTGTCTCAAAACTAGAATTACAGAACCAGAAATCTGGCAGACCATTGGGCCATCACGTGGACTCTGGGTGGAAATACGGGGGTTTTTGTTTGTTCAGTTTGTCCTGTTTTTGCCGATGAGGTTATTTCATTCGGAATTCTCAACCCAGAGCATCCAAGTCCCTATAACAGATAAGGGACTCTCACGGCTAAGTTTCCTTATATACCACACTGAACATGTTCTCCATCTGCAGGTTCCTAATTGTCGCACACATGCTCACAACGATTGGCCTTTGGCTCCGTTTTTGAAGGATTTTTAAAAAATGGTCCACATTGACCCTTCCGGACTGGACATAGACCATGACCTATTGGGTAACAACCACTTTTTTAAAAAGTGCCTAAATGCAGAGCAGCATGATAAACTAGGACTCCAACTGGGCAAATACTGATTTAGAGAATATGCACTGTGTGTGCCAACATATACTGTATAGTGGCCAAAGGAGTTTTACAGTCTACAGAGTAAATATAATGCATACTAAATTATGTGCTGCAGAAATCCCAAATATACATTTGCTTAGTTAAAAAAAAATATTTTCCAGAATGTCTACGTATTTAGCCAGGGCTATATGGCTGTTACATATCATTCTCTTGGGTAAACAAACTTCAGGGCTAGTGTATCTACAGTACACTGGATATATTTTATACATACATCTTAAATCCCTAGGGTATGGCATGGAAACAAACAAGAATGGATAACTTATGGGGTTATCATGGAAAAATACGCGCCTTTTAACGTGAATCATGTGTTACTCCTCAATCTCCTAATAAAAATGCCCAATATAGACACTGAATGCATCTTAGGCTATTTAATTAACTGCTAAAAGTTCGCACAGAAAAAAGGAAAACTTTTCACAGCGTGAAAGAACGCTGTGCCTTTGAGGGAGTGGAATTATCTGGGTACATGAAAAGCATAATAAGGGCTCTGTGCTGGCAGAACAGGCACATACCTAAACCCAAGATGGAGGAAATGCTTGCTGCCCAGTTTGGTCATTGCTTTTCTGGCCGAGTCATCCAAGTTTCTAGACCCTTCATCATTCACCGCTACTGACAGGATCATGCCATTGTCAATTGCTCTCAAATACTGGGCAAGACGGGCACTTTCCCCTTTCAGTTTGTAGGTATCGAACCTAAACGGAAAGAAAAGAAGCATTTACACCAGGGAGCAGCACACTATAGGTATTCTATAGAAGATCTACAGGTTTGTATTGCTAAAGATATCATCCCTTGCAAAAGTGCTACTTAATAGTATAGTGAAATGGAATGATGATTATACTGGTTTGGTTTAAAAGAATACATTATGGTTTTCCATAAAACTAATTCAGAGAATTGCTTAAGATCTAGATAATGAAACAGCAAAACTGTAACAATAATGGTCTCGTTTGAGAAATAGTGGCAGGTGAAAAAAGTAAGAAAATAGGTAAGTATGTAGGAAGAAAGAATAAAGATTTTTTCTTCCTTACGGATATAATTTCTAGGATGGTGTTTTGTTTTTGTTGGGTGCTTTTTGTTTGCTCGATTGTTTTTTATCCTAATTAAACAAAGCGTGCCACTCTGAGTAATACATTATTTATTGTGCAGTCATTTCCTTTTGTGACACTGTATTAGAAATAAGATGCACGCCTGCATTTAAAAAAAACCCTAGCTCTCAGACAAAACCCCCGACAATCAGCAGTTCTTCATAAACATTTTTAAAGCTTCAAGTACTTAAAACTGTTAATTGTCTTAATTTGTGGTAACATTTTCGTAGAGAAGGGACCCAAGTTTGATTGAAGTGAACACAATGAAAAATGCATCACTTATTTTTGGTGTAAGACTACAGTGCTGCTTCAGTTGGAATTCAGCCAACAACTCTGCATCCCCTTTGAAGTCAAAGAGAGGTTTGTCTGAGGCAGTTCTTCAGGACCTGGTTTGGATACTAGTTGGCTTAGATTGTAAACTTGCTAGGTTCCAATCCATCTTTTTGTTCTGTGTTTTACAGCTCTCAGCACAATAGGGTCCTGGTTCACGACTAAGGTTCCTAGGAACTACCACAAAAAGAAATAAACAATGATTTTGTATGTAATAAATCTAGTACTTGCTAATGACCCATGAGAAAGGAAGTTTCTGGGTAAACTGCTGAGGGCTTTGGAGCTGTGCTCTGGCTCCATTCCAGCTCCAGGCAAAAACCTGCAGCTCCACTGTTCCAGAGCTGCTCTGCGCTCTAGCTCCGGGCTCCGCTCCAAAGCCCTGGGTATAACAGTCTTTGAACCACATTAAAGGCCCGATCCTGCAAGGTGCTGAGCACCATCTACTCTTGCTGACTTTGCAGGGAGTTGAAGTCAATCATCATCTTGAAGGATTGGGCCCTACTTTGGTTATGGAGCCTATGGAATTGAGAAGAGCTATAGTGAGGCATACAATGAGACCTACATAAATATGTCACTGGAAATTGCCTTTGCCAGTCTTGGATCTGATGGTGATGCTGCTTTCAAGGTAATGTCAAAAGTTCCCAGATACTGATGGCTCTAAACTGACTCACCGATCTGAATGGATGACTGCCCCTGTCTTTGGGTCAATAACATGGACAATGACACCTCGATGCCCCCAGCTTCTCTCAAAGTAGTAGCCACCTTCTTCCATTCCACCAGGGTGAAGAGTCTTGTTTAAAAAAGTCCAGGACAACTTTTTCTCACCATGGATCTCAAGGGTTCCACCTCGACTGACCCCAATATATTTTTGGCCAAACTCAGCATCTGGCTGGATGTCTTCATCCGCTCTGTAGGGTAAAAAATACACACATATATGAATCAGAATATTTTACCATCAAGCCAACAAGAAGCCTCCCACCAAGTGCTGGTACTGCCCAACAGGAGAGGAAGCAACATGGTTTAGAATGTATTTCTTTCAAGAGATCCTAAGGAATGCAAAATGCTGGGACTCTATAGAAAATAAATTCTTTGTCTGAAATACCACTAACAACAGGGGTCAGAGACAATTTAGGACAGACATGGCAGCTGACTCATCATCACTACTTTGTTGTTCTTTTAGATTACTATCTACATTCCACTACTACATTTGGAGGCTTGTCGACACACAAAAGTTGTACTGGTAGGAAAGCAGTACAACACACCTCTTGTGGATACAGTTATATTGGTATAAATGGGCTTACACAAGGATAGCTTTTCCCATATGGGAAGGGGAATATGCTATGCTGGTATAGCTGCATGCATACTAGAGGTTGTAACTGTATAACTTTTTTTTTTTAAAAAAAGCAAACCACATCCCTAGCTGAAGTAGTTACATCAGTACAAAAGTGGTGTATCAACCAGGCTTGAGTGAATAGAAAGTAATATTGACCAACTTGAAACGTTAGAGCACTTTGCACAAAAGTGAAGAGTACTTCTTTGACCGAGTTACCTCTTGTGACACTATGCCCCATATTCTTCATCGAGATATTATATGACATGAATATGGCATAACTAAGATATGTTGTATGCGAGATGGATCATGTGAGGTATCATTGGAAAGGTTATGATGTACTGACTATGATTATCCTATTTGTATGCATGTATCATTTCTGTATCTGAAATTAAGAATATTGCCTATGTAACAACTACAACTGTGTTTACACCTGGGGAACGCCCACCAGACAGTAGGCAATCAGCCTGGATGTGCCATTAGGGAGAACAATAGGACTCTGAAGATCTCCCACCTTCCTGAGAAGCTTCCTGGGATGCTGCTTTGACACTGCAGGGTCATGTGATCATGTCACCTGGTACTGGACCCCATCTTGACCCACTAGTATTTTTCCACTAATAGTGGTGGGGACCTAACGGGGAAAACCAAAGGATTCCCACCATATGTGAGTCCCATTTAAGGTAGGGAAGTGAGTTAATCTAGGTTGGTTCTTCAGTAAACACCTGCCTAAAAGAACTGCTGGAAAACTCCTAAAACTGATCTGGGGAAGAAAGGACTGGACTCAGGTTAGAAGGTGTCGGGCCTGTGAAAGGAATATCTGGAGTTCTAAACTGCAAGCAAGATCAGTCTGTCTGTAAGAAACTCTGCAACCTGCTTAAAACATTTAGGGTGAGAAATTACTACTTGAAGCGAGTTTCTTTAGTGTATTGAGCTTAGTTTGCGTGTTTGCTTTATTTGCTCAGTAATCTGCTTTGATCGGTTTGCTATGCCTTATAATCGCTTAAAATCTATCCTTTGTAGTTAATAAATTTGTTTTTGGTTTCTATAAACCAGTTTGTGCAATTCATAACTGGGGGCAAAAAGCTGTGCAGATCTTCCTCCACACTGAGGGAGGGAGACACTTTCACGAGCTTAAACTGTACAGTTTTCTGTGCAGCACAAGACAATACAAATTTGGGTTTACACTCCAGAGTGGGTGTGCACTTGAGTGCTGGGCAATTCCTGAGCTACATCAGGGTGTCTGTCTGTGTCTCTGCGTCTTTCCCTCCCTTCTCCCCCCGTCCCATTTAGGCATGAACATTTTCAGACCAAGGTAACTGCAAGAAAATAATGGAAATGTGGGGCCTTTTTTCCTGGGACTTTAAAATATTTGAAAGAATGGATAGGCTACAAAAATCTCTTGAGCAAGACAGCTAATGAGATCAATTGATTGTGAAATATGTGGCAGTTTTGTGATGTGTCAAACAGGACTCAAAACCAGGTCCCAAAGTTTCTCTTTTGTTTTGTAAAGTTAATCATCTCAATAGGCCAAGAAGCCTCCCATAAAGCATTGTTTGCATGGGTGATTTATGTTTAATGTCAGTGAAATTTTAATTGCGATTATTATTTTGTATCTCTGCATTGTGAAATGGAACATGTAATATAGAGATCTAGCACTAAATTAGGGGATTCATGTTCTTTAGGTACATACCGCCCGTATAAGATGACCACCACGTTACTTTGGTATGGACATAGCTCACTGCCAATATGTAGTTCTCCTCCATTTTCAATCAATATATGTCGAGTTCGCAAAACTATAGGCTGTGTATTGTCCTTAATTACCAGCTTTCCTAAGGAAAAAATAATGGTATGAAGTTTTAAAACACAGCAAGTCATCAGAGTTAGTGGTGCGACTGTGCAAAAAGCAGGGCCAGCTTTCCCAGTTACATGAGAGAGAAATGCCAAACATATTCCCCAAAACTGCTTTAGGGCCAGATCCTAAAGTGTTTATTTGGCTTTTACTCAGGCAAACTCACTGAAGTCAGTGGAGTTTTGCATGGAGAAGGACTGAATAGGAGACTGCATGAGGATTTATGAGTTAATGCTCAATAAAAGCAGTTAATGCTAGCAGTCATCAGCAACAAAATAGGATACCGTCCTTCCAGACAAAGAGTAAACACATATCTGACTTGTCCTGAGATCCTAAGAATAGTGTTGCTTCATTAGGACATTATCTGTACAGCAAATTACTAGGATAGGGTTTACAAAGGAAACTGCAGGACTAGAACTATTAAGCAAGTTCATGTACTTTTGTCAATTCTCCAGAGAGGACAAACAAGCTACTCTTAGTTGCCCAGAGTGGATATCATCCCTACCACCACCCACCCTGGTATGAAACTGAACTGGCATTATCCAATATTTGCTCTAACTCAGAGCACCCTGCAGGAAGCTGTCCCTGTACCAGTATGTGCTGATCTAAGTAGACCTAATGGAGAGTCCTCATCCCCTGCCTTGGGTCTCAGGCTGACAGAAGGATTTACCTCCATCTGTAATGTGGATAGAGTGGACGGTTGCAGAGGAAGAGAGAAGGAGCTTCCTCCCTTTGCAGATTTCAATGTGTTGATCTTCATCGTGACCAGCATTCCAGGGTTCCAGCTCAGGATCCTGATCAGGACATGCTGAGGCTGCTTCTGCTGATAGAGATGAAGGGAGATAAAATTATCCTGGCTTCACTCAAGAAAGAAAATGCCACATCTATGCCCTTGACACTGTCATGCTCGATAAGTTACATTCGAAGAGGATGCCTCTTCCCTGAAATGCAAAGATGTTCCACCTTGATTGGGCTGTATTTGGGTCATGATAAAGGGAAAATGAACGATATCTTTGGGAACATGCTATGCTGGACTCAAAGCACAAAAAACACCTTACTACCCTGCACAGCAAAACATCACTGGTCCCACCGCATCAAGACAGTGGTAGAGAAAAGGGGAGGATTTTGCCCTTAATGTTACAGCTCTGCCTGTCAATGTCCAGCTATAATGTGGGCAGTCTGTCACGAGCTGCACAAAGGTGTCTGCTCTAGGGAGCAAATGAAAAAGGAGAAAAGACCCAACCTGAACAGTCACCTAAACACAAGCTAATGCCAAAACAGTACCTGTGAGGTCTGGTAAACTTAAAGGGGAAAAAAGCCATACATTTCTACAGTCTTTGCTCTTCAGCTGGGACGGGAAGCATGAGTGGTTTAAATACCATAACAAGATAGTTCTCAGGGAGATTCAAGTCTGGCCAAAGCCAGGAAGAGCTAGAAATCTCATGAGAGAATGGTTGGCTTCATTATATCTTTCAGAAAAAAAGAGAAGGACCCACCCACTCAAGAGTTGCACATCATTGGTCTCCACACACATACCTCTCAACTGTGCTCATGTACCAAATCCAAGGGCATCTCATCTTACAAGATAAAATATTTCTCTGCTTTAATCTTACCCAACACATTAGCCCCACATCTACTCTAGTTCAACAAGAGAGGGGTGTGTGTGAGAATATTTCATGACTGTTACAAACTTCCTAATTAAAGAAGATTGAGGACAACAGGGAGTTTGAACAATGAACCCTTTCCCATCAATGGGAGTTGCAGGTTCTCATCAGCTCTTGGTACTTTGCCCAGTGCGATTCACATGTTGTTCTTTCCCTTTTTTAAAAAAAAAAAATGCAACTCTATTGGGGTAATAGGTCAATCTGCAAGACCACAGAATATCTAGGACAATGGGTATGGGGTGAAATCCTAGCCCCACTGAAGTCAATGGCAAATCTCAAGGGGTTCAGGACTTCTTGCAAGGCATCTAGACCAATGAGAAGGTCTTTGTTTTTGTAATGGATACAAATACATTCCAACTGATGGACAAAGCAGACAGTGTGGATCAGTTTTAAGACTCTTTCACTGTCAAGATGTTTTAGTGCTGACATCAAGAAATATTGTCACAATTAGGGAGCTATATATTCTGTATTCTTTTGCCACTAGAAAACCAGAAGGACAATTAGAATTCTGTAACATCCTGAACAAAATCTGTCCATCTGCATTCAGTTTCCTGTTAGATTCCAAATCAACTCCAACTCTTTAAACAATAGAAGTAGATCAGCCATTGGTTTGGTGTCTCTTAAGGACATCCTCTATTGAGATTCCAAAGGGCCAGTTACCCAGGGTAGCAAGTGACATTTCATGTGTGCAACATGTGTCCTGGATCTACAGGAGTTCTTTGACTTGATCACTGCATTTCTATAAAAGAATGCCAATAATTGTTGAGCAGTGATTCAAATACTGAAAAATATCCAGGGCTCAAATCAGATATGTGCACCAGTTTCAAACTGGAGTGATATCAATGGTATTCCTCCTGATTTACACTGGAGAAGAAAAGATCAGAATCAGGCTCCCGATCTCTACTGGCAGACATGTAGAATCAATAAGAGTAGACTGAAAAAGATAAATAATTCAGGTGGTAAATGGAACCTGCATTGTAACCAGATGCCTGAAAACAACACTAATTTGAACAGACAAAAGTCAAAAGAAATGATCAAGGATTCTACGAAGGACAAGAATTGGAAGTGTGCTCACATCAAGATTATAAAAATCAGTCACACACTGACATTTGAGTCAAATTTAAAAGGTATAAACTTCCAAACAGGCTAAGTTGGATGGGTAGAAGTCAGCTCATTATTATTTGTTTATTGTGGGTGTTTTTCCAACATTCAAGAAAAGACGACGCCAGACCTGAGGAATTCATAGTCTAACGACAGGCAGAGAAGTAGACAGAAGTTAGGGGGAGGGGATTTACTCTTATGACTTGGATTTAAATTAGCAAAAGCCAGGATCATTCAGAGTTAAAGGTCCAAGCTCCTTTCTTAACCCATTCATTCCAGGAGCAGTGCAGAAACTCTACAGTCCAATCCTAGTCTGTGTTCTCCAGCAAGACATCCATTGTCAGCCACAGAAGGACTGAAACAGCTAAAGAGTTAACTGGCTCTCTAGTACCCATTTACTGCATCACAGATGAAATTTCAGACTTATCTATCAATCTCCTGGTCTTTTTGCACTCAGATGCCAGCTCCCCTTCAGGGCACTCTGCAGAATTAGCTAAGTTTTCTTTTGTGCCTAAAATTCCCTAAGCACAGCAATGACAGTGTACCTCATGTTGTTGCTTAATGATAGCTTTGGGGGTTAAATTGGGGGGTGGGGAGGACTAAAAAAAGTCAGAAACAAATCCACCATACATAGAATAGAGAGAAAAGTACAGTGAGGAGAGAAGTAGCTTGGAGAGGCTGAACATAATGCATGAAATGCTTTTGCTTTTACCAGCAAGACCCAGAGAAGGACTGAGGAAGCATCATGGGACAGGATGGCTTTTTCGCTCTCCCCATAATTTCTGGTGTTCTATCTGTGAGGGCAGAGCTAGGACAATGCAATAAAAGGCTCAAAGCACGTCTCAGAACAACAGCTCTTGGGCTATTTTATAAACTTGTCTTATTCAGCTTCTTCACTTCACATAGCATTTTCAACTGCTTAGTAGTTTCCCCCTTTGCCTTTAACGAAGCTGCTCTAAATTAGGGAGGCTGGGGAACTTGGGAAATGGATCCTGTTATGTATTTCCGCACATTGCTCGTGCTATAAGCTCCCTGCAGACACTGGATTAAGGGCTGAAAATACACCTGACCTACAGCTGCACTTTCCCGAGTTACAAATACTGTTATTTATATACTGTCTGTTGGGTGGAAACTTACCTGTGCGTACAAAAGAGATCACAAATAGAAGAGAAAAAAAACTGATGACCAGGTCCATCCTGGGAAGGGAGGCTGCTTTCGATATTCTTAGTTCTGTGGAGACCTGTGACAAAGAACGCCACGGCAGGAATTAGATCGTTGTCAACTCAAGTATATTTTATGCAAAAAGTTACACATGACACAGAGAAAGGGTTACATCCAGTTTTCTGACTAAGCAGGCCTTCATTTGTAACCCTTCCTGACTTGTTAGAGAAGAAAAGAACACACACACCCCCAGCCTCACCCCCACCCACCCAACATATTCCCCTTTGTTAGGTTTAATATTCAGATATTCAAACATGTACACAGAAGGAAATCACAACATGGGACAGGAAACTTCTTAGGAATGCAGTATAAAACACATATGGTATCAGGATAGTGGATGGCTGAATACTCACATGTGCAAAAAACCAAAAAGCCAACCCTCTCCTCCCTCCCAAATAAAAACACTTAGGATCAAATTCAGAGTGGCCTCAACATGAGTACCCTAAACTGTATGCCTGTGTTCTGGGTGTGAACTTTTGGCAGTCATGTTCTGTGCATCCCAAAATTCTGACCTGTGCTCACAGTTGCTGTTTTGAATCTGCACCTTCTGGACTTTTGGGTGCTCAGTCACTCAGCCACTCCAAATTGCAGTTCTGGGAGCAAAGCTAAAGGCTGCTTTTAGAGATTTCCCCCCTGAAGGCCTAGCTTCAGTGTCATGAAATTTAGATTTGGAGTGGGCTGGAGCGCTGTCCTTAAGTAATCCCACTGTGTCTAGGATTACGGTGATTACAGCCCATATGCGAACGGGTCTGATTATGCAACTCTGCTTCATGGTGGTGAGAGTTCAGGGATATGAATATTCCCCTGGAGGTCAAGGGTTATATACTTCTGTGTATACTACTTATGTAAAATGTTCACTCGTATGTATTTGTAAATTTGTTTAAAATTCGTATTATTTATCCAATACAGTATTTGGAGCCGTTACATTTCATTATGCAATTCTGTAGTGATGGACTTTTAAAGAAACTTGTTTTTAATCCATAGGCCATATAATGGTTATAACATAATACGGAGTCAGCATATGATGAGACAGATTGTTATATCCATAGGGTCTTCTACATGTCAACACATTACCAGTTTAGGCTCCTCTTTGTATTTACAGATGTTTGCTTTTAAAGTCACCGATAGCTGTGAGAGCATCTTGAGGGCAGTCTCTTCAAACACAATGTTTGGTTGCAAATAAGACCATTAGGTTCTTTTCCAAATTAAATAAACCTCCCTATGCAGACACAAGGAACCTGTTCATATTGCAAAGTAATGGAGTGTCAAATGTTTGTTTAGAAAAATTGCATTGGTTTGGAGTTAAACAGGTAAAAGCAATAAAAGAAAAAAACTCCGGGGAGCTCCAATTTCTTACTTAAGAAAACTTCAATTATTGTACTTATCCTCTTATAATTAAAAAAACCCAAGATTTAGTCTGGAACAAATTCCACAGCGGAAATAAATACAGGAGGTGTCCGCGCCGTGCATGTAAATGGTACAATTTTAATTACAACTATTTACCCAAAATGTATTGCCATGAAATTTAGGGCATTTTATTAAAAAGTAGCATTACAACCAAATTTGTCAAGAAACATCAACAGAAAATACGTTTGCTTGTACAGTTGTAGGGCACAGTGGCATTAGGATTGCTGGTCACATGGCTCATGCCCACTGCGTGAAAGCAACATTCTATCCATGTGACAATACAGACAGCATGCCACATGATACTCAGTGCTAAAAAGGATATTGCAGGATAGTAGAGAAAAAGCAATATACATAGTAATAGTAAACCTTCCTCCACGCCCCCCCCCAAAAAAAATAAATGCCATTTTCATCAAAATCAAAATGCTTTGAAGAACATGCCAACTTTGACAAAATTTTGTTAAAAAGATTAGAGGAAGCATTTCAATAATGTTGAAACATCCTGTTTAGGTATTTTCAGTATCAAACACACACTTTGATTTCTCATTTCAAAATGACTTTTCCAAACGAAATAGTGTTTTTATATAAAAACAGTTTGAAGAAAGTTAAATAGTCAGAATTAAAGTGCAATGTTTCCGTTTTATCAAAACAATGCCCCAGGTGTCTAAAAAACATGGACATTTTTCAGAATTTCATTTTTCTGGAAATTAAAAAAAATTCACTCTGTTTTGGAACTGGTGAAATTTCAAAATCATGGAATTTGCTGCAAAATGGGAAATCTATTGTCTGCCTAGCTCTACTCAGTAATGGCTTAATCTCTGAATGATGTACATTTTCAGCGAGTAGTAACTGTTCAAGGATTGGGGTCAGAACTAAGCAGCACGTGTCTGACCATTTAACAGTGTCAACATTTTATAAGCCAACAATGTCATAGTAAGTGTTATTGAAGTACAACAGCGACCATTAAAAAGTCAACATTTGCCCACTGTTATGACACAATCGGATTTGAAGTAGGGTAGTTATTCTCTATTTTAAGTAGAGGCACAAACTGTGCTGCTGGGATACCGCGGTAGAGCAGTACATGGGAAAGCTGTTTTGTAATGACGACAGACACAGTTTTGTTTGAAGGCATATACTTTCTAAAACGAATGGTTTGGTCTTTCATTTATAGCACATTGGTTAGGTACAAAAAGGTATGAATTTTGACAGTGATAGGGTGCACTTTCTATCTCATTATTGGGTAGTAAAGAAACTTCTTTGCTAGAATGCAGGGACAGTTGTCACTTCCTGTGGCCATTGCTTCCTTTGGAGACAACAGCTATGGGTTACTGCCAGCCAGTGCCAAATGGCTTTGTCCTCAAGCTTGTGCAACATGGTGTAGACTAAAAAAAAAAAAAAAAACCCCAACATAGATATTTTTGAAAGGTGCCACTTTTGTATTGGGCCCAAATAATTTCTACAGAATCTAAACTGTGGTGGTTAAAACAAGCTCTTTCCTGTTTTCTGGCTAAATGGAAGAGGGGGGGGGGCTCAGTTCAGGTCCCTGTGTTCACTATCACGGTTAGTATGAAAGGGCATCCTTGTTGGATGTCTCAGAGAGGCCAAGGAGAACGAATTCTGCTCCCACTACGAGGAGTACCTCTGCTGGGCCAGATTTGAATTATACTGACAGAGCCATGTGGGAAAAATACAGTTCCTGTTCTGGGGATACACAGAAGATCTCAGGTTCTGTGGGTGTCAGTTCAACACCCTTCACAAGTGCTAGAGTCAAACAATACAAAAAAAAAATTTAAGAAGAGGAAAAATGACTCTTTTCATGACCTTCCGTGAGGGAGGGTTTCAGAATAGTGCCTGCTACAAAACAGGTTGTTTTGTTAGCTTAGAGTCATGTGGGGATAAAGCAATCAAGCTACATCTTACTTGAACAGATGCCATATTATTAAGTTCAACTATGATGTAATAATTTCTGTCAACAAATGGCCATATATATTGAAATGCTCTGTGTGTAAGGGCTGTGAAAGAATCCTAAATAAATCTTTAATGTTTCTCAAACTCCATCCGCAAATTCTCTGCTGGGTGAGAAAAGCTTTTTTGCTTAGCTGTTAAAAGCCACCTGGCAATTGAGAGTGGGATTCATATCCCTAAGTCTGGCAAGACACACTCTTTGGAAGGCTCCAACAGCCGGGAATCATTTCAAAAAGAGTGAATATTAGCAGACAATGCTAAAAGTAGATACAGGAAGCCATTAGTCAGTCCTTAGACGGCTGCTACTGCAGGTGTCAATGGTCATAATGCACTAGAAAGCATTAAAGGATTCCGTAAAAAGCAGCCCCCTGATCTAGCTAGTTCCTTATAGTTTTATGCTGAAGCAGACAGAGAACAGATGGTGCTGGGGGGAAAATGTAAACATACATTTAAAAGACAGCTTGAGATTTTAAAAATTTCATAATGAAATCATAAGTGTGGGCTCCCTAAAGTTCCTCAGTCAGTGGGGTGGTGGTAGGGGAGGGAAGAATTACTCTTCTCCTCACTGGTACATCTCGTGGTTGTCACGGTAATAGCCCAATCTGACTGATGACTGCAAAGAACATTGCAAGCCATTTCACGTTAGAGGTCTTTAGTGCTATTAAATGGGTAACAATGTAGAGGGACATGCTCAGTTGAAAGAAGCGTGTAATCTCCACAGTGACTGGAAAGTGGAAAATGGGCAGAAATGGCAAGCATTTAAACAGGAGAGCTCCATTTCTTTTCTGTCCTCTCACAGTATAAGGGATAGGACGCTGGACTGGGACTCAGGAGATTGGGGTTAAATTTCTGACTCAGTAACGGATTTCCTACGTGATCCTGGGCAAGTCACTTGGTCTCTCTGTATCTCAGTTCCCCTCTGTAAAATGGGGATAAAGGACAGTTCCCTTCCTCATTGGGGTATTGTGAGGATAGTATTCATTACTGATTATGAGATATTCAGATTATTACTGAAGTGCTGAAGCCATAGAAGTACCAAGACAGGTAGATCGTTATTTAGTAGCCTAGACACCATAGCCAAGATTTTCCAAAGTGACTCATGATTATGGATACCTCAGATTCTGGGAGCCAATACAATACACCTTGAATGGGGCTGACCTTTAGAATGTGAGCCCTCAACACTTTCTGAAAATGAAGCTCCTTTAGGGTGTCTCAAGTTAGGCATCCAAAAATGGCTGGGGACACCTGAAGTCACTAGTAGTCACTGATGGAAATGTTGGCCTATGGGCCAGAGCCTTCTCACACTGAAGTCGAGGAAGAACCTTTATAAACTAGAATGGAAAATGGACATGGGAAAGTAGATAGCTATTCTGAAAACTTGAGCTTTCATTATACTTAGGAAAGATTAGTCTGAGCCCATATTTAGATTTCAGTGCTGTTGGTGACCAGTTCAAAAGTGCATTGGAAGCGTTCTTGTTCCTATGCAAAGCGCTCTGGGCTGATGAGGAAACTGATTTCTGAGGAAGGAATGGGAGGTTTAATTAGTGCCCATGCAGTCCTTTTTTTACTCCCATCACACTTGTGATGAGTTCACATTCCCTATGCTGAGAGAATATTGCTCTGTGCCTGTAACAGGCCATTTCACATCTT